TCAACTATTAAAGGTCGGATATTTTTTTTCTAATGAAAGACTGCTTTAGATTTTTGAATATTATAGCATTGTGTCTGTTAAGCTGATGTGCATTTACCAATTGCCAGGTGCAGCCTGTGTCCAAAATACTGATGCCCTGTCCACCCATTGAGCTGTGAAGCTTTGACAACATTAGCACCGTTGTCTGACGTAATGGCTAGTGTTGTTGTACTCGCGACCGGTCTTGAGATCACTTTTTGATGGTCTTGGTCTTGTCTCGGACTCGACCCCATTTGTACTCTGTCTCGTCTCGGTCATTGAGGACTCGGGATTTTTTTTTCCAAGACCAGTCAAGACCATAACTTTGGGAATATCAATATATTGCTTTTGCATTGTCTAATTTATTTGACATTTATTATTTTCTTGTGTGTCATGTTATGTGGGGAACTGGTCTTGGTCTTCACTCTGTCTCGCCCTCAACTGGTCTCAGCCCCTAAAAGTCTTGGTCTTGTCTCGGTCTCGATAAAGTCTGGTCTTGACCACAACACTAGTAATGGCCATGGAGTTCCATGAGTTCCCACGCAGAGAGCATATCTCTCAGGCCCTGTGCAATCATCTCTGATGTGTGAGTGACTGGAAAATATGCCGTCTCAAGGCATCAGTTGTGCAGCTTCCATTAATTGTCAATGTAGTGCAAAGTAAGGCTCAAGTGTGGGTCAGACGTGGCTGCAAAGTGCTGACTTCAGTTCAGCAGCTACCTTTTAACTACATGTTTTGTACATGTTGGGCAGCACAGTTTGGGGAAAAATATGGTTGCGATGGCACGGTGTGTCTTCTGTCGAGAGTTTTAACAGAGTGCTTAAACCAGCTGCGCTCCACTGTAGCTCTGGGAGCCATGTCCTTGGCGATGTAGTAACAAGTGGCGTCACTTATTTCTTTTATATGTTTGAATCCTTTTCATATTGTGTAGCATTTGTAAAAGTGTGTGTTATGGTCATCTGCTTTGTGGAGGCACTTGTTGCTAGGCGCTCATCACTCATCCCTTTTTTTTTTAATATAAATATGCACTGCTCATATTTGGTAAAATTACTGTGCGAGTTGAAACATATTGGTGGCATTTCTAGCTACCAAAGGTGACACCTTTGGTAGCTGAAACAGTTTTTCTGCCTTGTTTACATTGGACTTTATTTTGTTCGGTGTTGCCTTCACTGAAGCCAAAGCTGCTCCTGTTGCTCAGTTGACTCCATGTTTTTGAGTTCTCTAACATGTTGCGTCCATGCTGCAGACTGAACAGGGTGGAGTCACATGACCAGGGAAAGTACATTAATGAACACACACAGTGGGGAAAGAATTGACAATATTAATTTTTTAAAATTATGCTGGTAAAAGGTTCTGAATTTTGATTACTTTTCAATTAATAGTCCAGCCCTTTAAACAGATGGAGGATGGATTTATGGAACATCCAAAGTGTCAGAACTGAATGAAAGAATAAATAAATAAATGCAGAAATATATCAAAGAAAGAATGAATGAATAAAAGAATAAATACATACATTTGCTTTTGCCCTTCCCCAAGGAGACCTATTGTCATTGCTTTTCCCTTAGAGACCTATGTGTATTGCCTTTTCCTTCCTCTTCCTCAACTGTCAATCAACGTGTTGTGCCCCCCCCCACTAAGTCCAACTAATCACTCACAGAAGTATTTCTCTCCATGATCAGAGATGTATAAAGTTTTGATACACACTCGATACCAGTTGGTGACGGTGATGCACCAATTCGTTGTTTACCAACTGACAATAAAAGCACAAGGAAGAAGAAGAAGAAGAAGGGAGAAGAAGCTAATGTTAGACAGAACCAGCACATGTCAATGTGATCTAAATGCAGAAGTCCATTTACCGGAGGTAACTGTAAGAGAGAGGGCGGAGAGGCAGAGGTGTTGGAGGTGCAGTCAGGGCAAGGAGAGGCAGAGGACCTACCTAGAGTGATGGCTCAATAGAGGACAAAGAAAGAGTGGAAGCCCTCCAAAGGAACCCGAGGGCTGTTACAGAGGTTTGTATTTATAAGGTTGTTGTAACGTTATTATATTCTGACACGTTTGCACTTTATGACAAACCGCAGCACACAGTGATAACATTTACATAGCAGCTCTGTGCACATGTACCCCTGGTACTGTAACGTTAGATAGTAGTAACATGTCATTTACTGGGCAACAATGAGTATATGAAGCCATATTATACAAGATGAGCAAACACTGGCCAGCCTGCAAACCCCAATATGCAGTACCATATTGCCAACATAATGTCATGCAACTTATAAAGCCTTATTTTATCAGAATCACAAATTCTTTATTGATACCCGAGGGGAAGTTCTTGGTCACAATTGCTAAGCTTGCATGTCAAGATACTAAGGAAAAGAAATAACTATATAAAGTAAGGTAAGTAGGAAATATAATTAAATATACAAATTATAAAATCTAAATAAAGGTAATGTGGACATGTAAAGTAATTTACAGCATCAACAGAAGTGTAATAATAAATAGTAGGAGTGCATTAAATACTAATAGTAATAATGAGTACTGGCATATTTCATTTGGAATGGATACAATCTTAAAAACAACATCGAAACAGAGTAACCAGAATATCGAAGCAGAGCATATTGCATATTGAGTATTTTTCCCTGTGTCCTCTTTCTTCAGGAGATGACCCTTGAAGAACACAGAGAGCTCTCCACCCTTCTGCTAGAGAGGCAGCCAGGCCTGGTCTTTGATGCCTTGATGATGCATCAGCGCAGACATGGTGCCCCACCTTCTGCCGGAGTGCCAGGAATACCTTGGTGTACTTGTGGTAACTGTAGGGAAATGCTGTGGCCAGGAGCAAGCGAACTGTGTGAGCCTACTGCCACACTTCTCCCAGTACTGCCTTGAAGAAGGCTTTATTCGCATTCACAGGCAGTACCGGGAGGACATTACGGCATTAGGCAACATCAGGGAGCCTGAGGATGACAACAGGGAGTACTGCTATGGTGCCTATAGACACTTAATCTATTGGCAACATGGAGCTTTAGGCCAGGGAAATCAACATGTCATCCCTAGTTGTTGTGTTTGGAGGATCAGGGACAAGTTCCCTGATCCTCAAGGACACTACACGGGTTTTATTCCTGGACTGTGAATTTACAGTTTCACACAAATACTCACAAACCTGCCTCAGCATCATCAAGGCATCAAACAAATGTACATAGTTAACATTTGATTTATTATTACATTTCTATACATACAGTGGGTACGGAAAGTATTCAGACCCCTTTAAATTTTTCACTCTTTGTTTCATTGCAGCCATTTTCCAAAAATCAAAAAAGTTCATTTTATTTCTCAGTAATGTACACTCAGCACCACATCTTGACAGAAAAAAACAGAAATGTAGAAATTTTTGCAAATTTATTAAAAAAGAAAAACTGAAATATCACATGGTCATAAGTATTCAGACCCTTTGCTCAGTATTTAGTAGAAGCACCCTTTTGATCTAATACAGCCATGAGTCGTTTTGGGAAAGATGCAACAAGTTTTTCACATCTGGATTTGGGTATCCTCTGCCATTCCTCCTTGCAGATCCTCTCCAGTTCTGTCAGGTTGGATGGTAAACGTTGGTGGACAGCCATTTTCAGGTCTCTCCAGAGATGCTCAATTGGGTTTAAGTCAGGGCTCTGGCTGGGCCATTCAAGAACAGCCACGGAGTTGTTGTGAAGCCACTCCTTCGTTATTTTAGCGGTGTGCTTAGGGTCATTGTCTTGTTGGAAGGTAAACCTTCGGCCCAGTCTGAGGTCCAGAGCACTCTGGAAAAGGTTTTCGTCCAGGATATCCCTGTACTTGGCCACATTCATCTTTCCCTCGATTGCAACCAGTCGTCCTGTCCCTGCAGCTGAAAAACACCCCCACAGCATGATGCTGCCACCACCATGCTTCACTGTTGAGACTGTATTGGACAGGTGATGAGCAGTGCCTGGTTTTCTCCACACATACCGCTTAGAATTAAGGCCAAAAAGTTCTATCTTGGTCTCATCAGACCAGAGGATCTTATTTATCACCATCTTGGAGTCCTTCAGGTGTTTTTTAGCAAACTCCATGCGGGCTTTCATGTGTCTTGCACTGAGGAGAGGCTTCCGTCGGGCCACTCTGCCATAAAGCCCCGACTGGTGGATTGCTGCAGTGATGGTTGACTTACTACAACTTTCTCCCATCTCCCGACTGCATCTCTGGAGCTCAGCCACAGTGACCTTTGGGTTCTTCTTTACCTCTCTCACCAAGGCTCTTCTCCCCCGATAGCTCAGTTTGGCCGGACGGCCAGCTCTAGGAAGGGTTCTGGTCGTCCCAAACGTCTTCCATTTGATTATGGAGGCCACTGTGCTCTTAGGAACCTTAAGTGCAGCAGAAATGTTTTTGTAACCTTGGCCAGATCTGTGCCTTGCCACAATTCTGTCTCTGAGCTCTTCAGGCAGTTCCTTTGACCTCATGATTCTCATTTGCTCTGACATGCACTGTGAGCTGTAAGGTCTTATATAGACAGGTGTGTGGCTTTCCTAATCAAGTCCAATCAGTATAATCAAACACAGCTGGACTCAAATGAAGGTGTAGAACCATCTCAAGGATGATCAGAAGAAATAGACAGCACCTGAGTTAAATATGAGTGTCACGGCAAAGGGCCTGAATACTAATGACCATGTGATATTTCAGTTTTTCTTTTTTAATAAATTTGCAAAAATTTCTACATTTCTGTTTTTTTCTGTCAAGATGGGGTGCTGAGTGTACATTACTGAGAAATAAAATGAACTTTTTTGATTTTTGGAAAATGGCTGCAATGAAACAAAGAGTGAAAAATTTAAAGGGGTCTGAATACTTTCCGTACCCACTGTATTTATTCATATTTCTCTATTCTTTATTTAAATTTGATGTATGTTGTATAGTTATATATTGTGTTATAATTGTTCAACTGCAGTTCTATGGTATCGAAAAAATAAAAAGGTAAGAAATAGAAGCACATGGTGTTTTTATTTTCATTATATACATTTGTACATGTCTTTAGAAAAGTATGACAGTTTCAAACTTTGCCACAACATTTCCAATACCAATTTTAGTTATTTATATTTACATAATAGGGGACAGCTGTAGCCTTACTTATCATTACAGTTCAAATTGTAAACTGTAATTTAGGCTACCTACTGAAAATAATATGCGCTGGTCACAGTGTACTTAGCAGAATAAGATGAAACGTGTACAAAATGGAAAAACATGAAATAACCACTGGAGGAGGGTAGGAACAGAATTTAATGTTAATACATTTTCCTTTTTGAAGAGTAAAAGCTATGACTTTGTCAGTGAACTGAATTCTTTCCCTTGTGATCCTGCCTGACAAGTACCAGGACACATGCTAGGTGATCTCCTATGGGGATCCTTCCACATCAGATGCTGGTCGGAATAACGGTCCTGTTGAAGACAGTGCCATCAAACATAGTTACAGACTATATTGTAATGTAAATATCATTCAGTGACATGTAATATGGTACAACATAGGCAACAAATTTGTGTAACTTACCTAGACCTCTTCTGACTTGTCTCTGCAACAAGTCTGATGTGGCTGGTGCAGGTACGGGGGGCACCAAACCAAGCTGTCTGGGGTCATCTGGGAGAAGGCTCCTGCTTCTAGGCATCCCCACTCCACTTGTGAGTCTGTTCTTCATAATCCTTCTTTACAACTTGGAAATGTATCCGTAGGTTTTTTCAGATTTCAAGGCATATACGCTGTATCTTCTACCATTCTTCTTATACAATGTTTTGAAACTGAAATTACACAAATTACAACCATTTAATATCAGTTTGTAAGTAGAACAAGAGAAAACCTTGAGTGTAAAGACAATCATTTGCATATAAAACATGGGCTGAATATTGTACTATCAATGGGAATATTATATAAGTGTAAAACGTACATCTCTTTGCTGTCCAACGTTTTCATTGTTGGTCGGTTCCGGTGGAAATTGTAGTCCAAAACAGCAAGCAGAACTCTTGCCTCAAACTGGGGGGCTGAAAGCATAGCGCTTGCTGGCATACATCAGGATATGATTCTGGAATGACTCTAGGTCTGCAGTCGATCTGACAGAACAAACAAATTCTGTGTACATGAGCAATAAGCATAAATATTACTAATATACATCAGTGTGAAAAAGTATAGCCACACTACCTGAATCGCGGATAGTTGTGAACATCTTTCTGCCACCTCTTATCGAGAACTATATCCACTAAAGCTTTGTGGCACTGGGAGTCTCTTTGGATACACATCTTTCCCCTTATTTGCTCCAATTTAAGGTGCCCGTGTTTGCAGCTTCCCATAGTCCAGGTGTGAATGTTGCAGACATAGTGAAGGATGCCAACCCATAATGACTGCAAAACATAAAAATGCACTCATATATATATATATATATATATATATATATATATATATATATATGTCCTTAATATAGCAATTAATGAAATTACTCAAAAGATATAATAAAATTGTGTGCTTATAAGAAACTGCCCACGTGTGTCGGCAGTCTTGCAACACCACCGAAAATGGTTGACTATGTCCTTCAGCCAGTTGAAGAGGATGGACTCTCCTTTTACCTTTGCTGCCTTGAAAAGAGAAAAATAAATATTACTGTAAAATACAGGCATTCAAGTATAGTCTGTGTGTAGAGGTGAAAGTGTAAATGTTCAACACCCCCCCCCCCCCCCCAAAAAAAAACCAAATACACTAAATGACTACACCAAATGCCTAGAATGAGTAACACACCTTCTGGCAGAGGAAAGTAAACAAAATCTGTTGTCTTTGAGTGCAATGAAACTTCCATACCGTCATCCATCAACTGAACATAGTTCAATAACCCTGATGTACAGAATAGTAACTTTATGGTTAATAAATGTTTCACAACATTAGCCAGTTATTACACTTACTGATATTTTTTTGGAAAGGTTCTTCGCAACATGCCATATGTCCAGACTGTGATGAATTCCAAGGGCCTTGTATTTGCCTTTGTCTGGGTCTATGAAGCGGTAAATAATGTCATGTTACTATAATATTTATATTGCTGTTATACACATGCATCCATACAATATATCACATGAATACTTACTCATAAGGGCACCAATCTGGGCATGAGCATCTGTGCAGATTTCCACTAGCTTTATCTCTGATGTAAACTTGTCCACAGTCTGGATGAAACCCTCCTTCTCCAAGATGACAGAATTCCATGATGTTTGTCGCTTGTCTATGGTGGCAACATGAATGATTGGTGTCATTCTCCATGGTGGTGTAGCTGCAGTATTGTGCACAGTGACCAGGAGAGTCATTTCTGCCATCTGTGGAAACGTTTTAAAATATAATTCAACAGAAACAGTTATTAGTTGTGTCCATACTGTCATTGCTTAGTGTATTCAATAGCTATGTTACATAATACAGTATCAACTACACACCTAGGACAACATCATCTTTCCCTTGAAGGAGACAAAAAAAACCTCTGTCCTTCTCTCTTCCCAGAAGTCCTTTATTTTACTGACGCAGTAAGTGTCCTGAATGGAGAAGTTGGTGTTCCTGTTCACCATCCCCCTGTTCATGAATTTGAACAAGAGGGCAACCTTTGCGTAGTTGTTGCCAGACAACAAAATGTTGGTGGACAAGAGAAAATCTCCAGCTTGAATCCCAAACTTCATCACAGGTTGGGAATTCCACCTCCACAAGCTGTGTCCATTAGGACAGATCTAAAAGTCCCACAGAAGAAACATTTGACATTTGTCATGTACCCATTCGATAGTATCTGCTGTGCCCTTGGTGGTGATGTTGATCTCAAAGGGTGTAACAGAGTTGCACAGCGCACCAGTCCTCAGAAGGCCAGTGCACTTATCCACAGGCAGGATCAGAAATGTAGCCAGTTGTCTTAAGCAGTTCTCGTACACTATGGAGGCTCTGACACCTATGATGTCATCTTCACAAAGGACATTCTGTGGTTCTGGGAAAACAGGGTCATGATCTCAGGGAGATCAGGTCACAGTCTCGTCGATTCCAATAACAGGACGTCCACAGATAGAGATTGCTTTCTTCAGTGCTCCACCCATTCTGTTGAGGCACAAAAATCTGTAGTAAACAGACACCACAAAACAACTGCAAATTGAGACTGACAAATAACACACTGTATAGAAATCGGTGGAAGATCCTCTTCATCAGAGCTGAAACCATTCTGTCGATCATCTCTTTCAAGGGAGTAAGGGGAAGCTTCATCTACCCAATCAATTCTGTACATAATGACAACTTTCAGATAAAAACAAGTTCTCAAATACTACTAAAAACAGGGTGTCTCCTGTAAGTACTACTTACACACTGTTCATTGGGTCATTGAAAACATTTTCCTCCAAGTCCTCCTCAATGATGCTCATGTCATGTAAGCTGCAAAAAACATATTACAAATATATATTATGAACATTTGGAGAAAAGCAATACAGGGCTAAAAGTTATGATGTGTACATGTTACCTTTGTTCAAGGCCCTGAATTTCTGTGGCTTCTGGAATGACATCAAGATGCTCATCTCTGTAGAGAATAACCAGAGCAAGTTGTGTATATGCCACATATGCTCATTCAACAGTAGATATAGACCAAAAATAAAATAAAATTACACACAAATCCTAAAGTTCGTTTGTGTGTTTCTAATCAAAGCTATTAGGTCAAAATTAATATATTGTTACGCATGACTTACCGGTCTGTTCCACTAGAAGCACCAATGCTAGACAATGCTGGAGCTGGGACTGCAAAGGGAGTCGATGTTGCACATTACTGTACTGTAATCCACAATGTGTTACATCTTTGTAGGGTTTGCTCATCTGGCCTAATAAACTGAACATCCCAAAAACTATCACATCTAGTGCAAGTATGATCACTGACAGACAACATAACACGTAAGCCAAGAGTGTGTAAAAATGTCCCTGTTTAAGTACCACAGTACATTATAAACCACATCATGGGTAAGTTTACAAAGCCATGGTCAGGTGAGGATCAAGGGTGCTCTACAATATAACACAAATAAGTCCCGAGTGCCATCATTTGAGCTTGTGGTAACCTTTGTATGCACCATAGAAGCAATACAAACAAATACGTTGTTTCTAATGCAAATTCTGACAATAAGCATAATTAGTCACTTGATAGGCACAGTGTTGTTATCATAATGCTGTTAGCAGTAAAAATAAATGTTTTCCACCAGGGCAGTAAACATTTAGCTTGCTAATCTGAGCCACCATGCTCCATGCAATGTTACGGTTTTTTAGCTAATTGTAATCATCAGCTGATTGTCTCACAAATGACACATTTCTGTTCACTAAACGAAGCCGAAGCGCTGGAGAACAACCTTCGAAATAACAATCCAACTAATGTTACATATATTTCTTCTAACAGGGTAGTAAAAGTTTAGCAGGCTAATATGAGCTGTAATGCTGTAGGCTAACTTACGGTTTCAATAATACCAATCAGCTGATTGTCTCACAAACGTAACCAGCACATTTATCCCCACATAGCAAAGCCATAACACAGCGAGGGAGAAGAACCACATGAAACTATCCAACTACATATTTTACACCACTGACAAGGAAAGAGTCGCTTCTCACGGTGTCTATGGCTAATGCTAACATTATCAAACAACAGTTTTCATTAGCAATGCTAAAGTTGGAATAGCTTACCTGTCCAGCAGAAAACAGGCAACTTCGGCGTCGCTTTGAAAACATTTTTCCCCTCATTAGACCCTTCCTTCTGGGACAAGCTGCTGCTTGCTGCCGCCGCTGCTCTTTCAAGGTAGTGACGAAACGCGCTCTGTAGCGCTGTTTGTTCGCTGTCGGCTACGGTAGAAACATGATGACATAACATGTCGACCTCCACAGCAGGGGGTGCAGCAGTGTATGTAGATATAAGTGTTCATTATCTAATTTCGGAGTCGGAAGTTTCAATTGGGAAATGTCCCAGTTCCAACTGGTCTCGAACGCAGCATAACTCCTTCTAAACTTTCTACCAATCATAACACTCTTCCAGGGACAGCATATCCACACTGAAGATAGTATCAGTCATGGGCTGCTTGACCTGACTTAGTGGGCGGACCACAACACCTTGACTGACAGTTAAGAGGAAGGAAAAAGCAATACACATAGGTATTAAAAGCGAAAAGCAATGACAATAGGTCTCCTTGGGGAAAGGCAAAATGTATGTATTTATTCTTTTATTCATTCATTCTTTGATATATTTCCGCATTTCTTTATTTAATCTTTTATTCATTCATTCTTTCTTGCATATAGTTCCCCATTTATTTATTCTTTCATTCAGTTCTGTCACTTTGGATGTTCCATATTGATTCTTAAATCATGTTATGAGTGTTGTCGTTGCATAGTTTGTTGACCAGAGGGCGCTCTGAAACTCCCCTGTTGGCAACACAAAACACAGCAATAAACTGACATAATCTGTACTTTCTTATCTGTGTAACTGTAACTTTTGGTCAAAGTGCTATTTATAATATATTTTTTAAAAACTACATTATGTCATGTTATCTTGGTGAAGTCCCATAACTACAACACATAAATGCTAGGGATAATCTTAGTTTATGTTGTGTTTCTGGGGAAAAAAACAAACATAAAAAATGAATATGGGCAGATATCTGGTTTTAAAATCCTCAAAAATCTAAATCTGTCTTAAAAATCCAATATTGTGACAAGATTTGTTCCTTAAAACCACAAACCAAAGCTGTATTTCTATTCGTGCAGTGCTCAGGGTTTATCTCTTGCCTACTGTGTACAAAATGCAACACAAAGCAGATTCAGTTATAATTAACTTTATTTATAAGTACACATAGAACAAGATCTATTATCGCTTTTGATACCATTTGTTTCCCTTTTTGTGCGCTCCAGCTTAGTCTTTTCAAAGACAAACATACGGATCTTTATCAGGTAAATGTAAACTATATCAGTAAATTAAAATGATTAAACTGAATGTAAAGGGTTATTTAGAAATAAGAAAATGAAAGAAGACTTGACAACTAGTGTTTGATATAAATTCCATGGAGACAGTTTAACAGGCAAGACTGCCTGCAGATTCAAACTGAGTAAATAAACAGTTCGGTTGGTTTCATAAAAACACACAGAAGAAAGCAATAGAAAGGAAAAATAATGTCACAGACCCTGTTTTCATACTCTTGGCGTCAGTTCACCTCTAGATAACACAAGCTCAAGAATAGGTTATTGTTATATCCCCTTTTCCGAAACAATGTTTTTCAGCGGTGTACTTTTTCTTAAATTTATTAGACACTGAACAGTACTACATTGTCATAAGCATGGTTGTTAGAATGACTGCTGGCTAAGACATTGAGAAACTCTGTGATACAGTTTACATTATTGCATGAGGCAATGCCATCATCCTACGTGTGCAAATTTACACTTTTGAGAGAAGGGAGAGTGGGGATGGAGAGGTAAACAACAAAATGCGGTTGGATGGATAGGCAGGAAAAACAGATAAACGAGGATAACTAATAAGGAGAGGAAGGAACTTTACATTATTGTGCAGCAGCTTGTCAAAACCACATACATACAATCCCACCACTTCATCTCCATCTTTTTTTAAAAGATTTCTAATATGGATTGATAAAGCCAAAGTAGTACAGTGAGGAGACATATCAGTGTTCTAATTAACCACGGCATTGCTGCTCAGTATTGATGCATAGTTCAAAAGGGGACTCATTCTCAGAGGTAATGGAGCACAAATGCTGGAAACAATCCAGTCAATTACAAACTGGTACTCCAATTTTGTCCTTCGATCGATGTATTCTGTTGAAGGAGCACAGATGTTTTGGGAGAGTACGCTGTTGCCAAACACTGCATGCTCCTGCTTGTTCATTTGTCTACTTCCATCGGTCAGGTTAGCTAAACATTCAATTCGGCATAAATCACTTTCAGGTTCAAGACCTTCAAATAGTTGACAGGCCTGCAGCTGACAGAAGTGGAAAAGTGAGTTTAATTCAGCATTGAACTACATCATCTGAGTCATGGCTGCATTGCTGATAAATGTTTCGGATACAGTGTTACTATGGAGATAGTGAAAAACCCCTGTGCAGTGTATCTGGTTTTGTTTTCTTCTGATCTGGGCAGCACTCAAGGGCTGGGAGTGTTAGCATGAATATTTAGGATTGGTGCGTGTGTATAAATATTTCATTTTTTTGGAAGGTGTTTTCAGCTCTGGAGGTGCAACATTATTGGAACTGGTTGACTTTGCCTTAAAATGTGCTTGCACACACACACATACAGTTAGACTCATTTATGCACGCACACACACACACACACGCATTAGAAATATAAAGCCGAGTGCTGCTACTGGGAGTCTCCAGAGTCTCTTATTAGTCCAGCTAATTTCACATCATTTGACAGAGAATTAATTCATAAATTAATCAGCAGAGCCTCAAAATACCACCACCATGTAATCCCATTTACACCTAGCATTAAAATCCCCATGCAGACAGAACAGCATTCATCGTAATCTCTGCGTGGATGTGAAAAGACAGGGTGGAACCGCTCTTCTGACAACTTTTCCAATGTCACACTGTTCAGACCAAACACCTTAGTCAGAGGCCTAAAAGCCACCTTAAGACTCTGACTTTACACCTCTAAAATGATACAGCTGAATTGGTTTTAGTGGGCCACCCTAGAGCTGGCTTTGGATTAAGAAAGCTGCATTTAAACTAACTATAACAGAGAGGTACTTAGTAAAAATCACAACTGTAATCCTGTTTGGGTGTTTCCAACAAGCTTCATTTCAACAATGTGGCTACACTGAGCTTCTTCTTTGGGATTTTAAAGATAGGTGTGAATGGGGATACGTTTTTAACACCAGTACAGATCCTTCAAAACATAAACCTCCTGCTATTACTGATACAGTAACGATACATTTTTCACGCTTCTTTACTTTGGTGCAAGATTGGTCGTGTCTGGCATACCTCTGTGTCCCCTTCAACATAAAATTGTGCTGCTTGCTTTTTTGTGCTTCTCTTGTGAATTATTATTATTTTTAAATCAAATACATATCTAAAACAGATTGGATATAATTGTGATTTCTTTCCTTCACACTTTACTGTACCAATTAATTTTTAATTTTCTAAATGCAACCATTGATATACATGATATACATTCTGAGTGCACTGTGACTAATGTCAGTGATCGCAAATGTGAGCCTGCTAAAAAAGGAAAATATTGTTCCCATGTGAAAAAAAAAAAGATTTGGTAATACATCTTCAAGTCTATCCTTTTCCTTACAAAGAAAAACATTAAGTAGTCATCAATATTGAGTTTCACCTACTCACATTGAATATATTAGGCAACATCAACAGCGTTAGAAATGGTTGCGGTCACGACCCTGTTGGTATTTCACATGGTTAGCTCATTTGGTTGTATCACATTTAAGACTAGCATTAAGTAATGGAATGTATCACTAGTCAAATGTATCATGTACCTCTAAAATGTTAGTTATCACAAGTTGACAGGACATTAATGAATGTACTGAGATATACTGTTTTCTGACCTTATCACCACACCTAGGGAACTAAATTGAGTTTGATTAGTACAATTTAATAAGGAATTAATCAAATTAATATATTATTGAGGATCGTCATATCACCCATCAGGTATCTGGATATGTGTAGAGCTGTGCTTCATCCTGTGTCCCCACTGTAACCAAAATGAATATGTACAATTTGGGGACCAAAATTTCCCACTCTTGACAGTTGTCTTATTGTCCCTCTGTTCCTCCCCCTCACTATTTCATTTCCAGAATCAGATTATCTAACTTCCACCTACTACTGCTACTCCTCACTACTCCCCCACCACTCCCCCGCCCCACTCTACTCCTCGATTTCCAATATAAGGTCATCTCCCTCCAGGGAGGAGTCGGCCGTGACGTGGACTGCCTTAACAGTCCCGGCCACTGGGGAGTTGACCACGGTCTCCATCTTCATGGCTGAAAGGACACACAGCGGCTGACCCTTCTCCACCTATCGTGATTGTAAAGCATTAAAAACACGAGTCACATGTACAGATCATTGAACAAGATCTGCAGTTGAAGGTTAATCAAAACAAATACACTCAAAGCATAGCACATAAATGTTAGTTTATAGGCTAGTCAACAACACTTGCTGTGAATGTGAGTTTCACTTTAAAAGGGATGGCTCAACCAAATTACATTGCTAGTGTATGCAGGTAGTTCAGGTGCTAAACTAACCTTGGATCCAACTTCCACTTTGACCTCCAGGACTTTTCCAGGCATGGGTGCTCCCACTTGACCCTTGATAGACTTCTGAGCTTTGGGATGGAACTTCATTTCCTGTGTGGACGGACAAAGAGATTTCATGCATCCATCTGTCCAGCCGATCCAACCATGCAAGTCATCCACACATGCCTGCCTCCATTTATGCACTCATCCAGCCAACAATCCATCCATAGACTCATTCAACCGCCCATTGAACATTCCTCCCTGCTAAGCCTCATTCTACGCCTCACATCCATTTGTTTCAATGAATAAAAATCACACGTTATTGCCTAGCATACAAAAAATAAATTATGCTATTCAGTCCATAAGATTCAGTCACCTTTTCCAAGAACCATCCCAGTCTCTCCCCCTTTAACCACCTATAGATCATTTACTTGCAGACATATCAAAACCTAACTATCTATACCTCCCTCCATCAACCCACTGACTATCCCAACATCATGCCCCATGCTCCATCCCTCCTGTGTACCTTCATGGCGACAGTGTCTTTAACCAGCACAGATCTTAGCTGTCCGTTCAGCTCAAAGAAGACCTCTCTCTGGCCGGCCTTGTTCAGGTCACCCAGTGCAAGAGCCTTGATGTGGAGGGTCTTTCCTCTTTCCAGCTCCACCTGAGATGAAACAAAGCCAGAGAGTAGGGGGAGGATTGGATCACGTGGGGAGGGCAGAAGAGAGAAAATGGAAGAGGAAGGAGAATTGAAATTAATACATGGGTGCCTCGCTCACAAGTCCAGCTAAGGCAATGAAAAAGGACTGCAGAGCTTAGCTAAATTAAAAAATGAAGTTAGTGGAGTGAGACAAGCGCAATGCTTCCTTCTCTTATTTATTTTGTACCCTCAGGCCAGGCCAGACTGGAATATATCCCAGCATGCACTTGATGGAAGGCAGAGAAACACGCACAGATTCAGTGGGCCCCATTGCAATTTAACTGTTAAATAAAATAAGGTGGCATTTTATGTCTGAGAATTTTACACTAATTTACAACTTTTTTTATTGCACTACATTCAATTAGTGACTCTCTGCTCTTATGAGCTGCTCATTTTTATTTAACTTTGTTTGCAAGTCAAATGCATCTTGTGTGAAAGAAATGCTTTGAATGGGAAAAGATGGAATTTTGCATAAAAGACATTTTAACTTCTGAGTGAGAAAAGCACAGGTGTTATAACAACATTAGTAAGCATCCCAGTAAGTTCTGACAGCTACGCTTCATGTCATATGGGATGATGGGTAGAGAGTGAAAAAAAATCTGGTTCAGGTCATCAAGACAGTCGCATAAATAAAGGGTTGGTCGAATGAGGATTAAAATACTGCACTGACAATATAACACCATATCCATTAAACCTGAGTTTAATTCAGTGCGCAACATCTATTGGTGTTGGCGCAATGGATAAGACACATGCCTTTGGTGTGAGAGACCCGGGTTCAATTCCCCACTGTGTCCCTGAGCAAGACACTTAACCCTAGTTAAGTATAAATATATAATAATAATAAATGTAATTACAGAACAACAATATCTGGCTGATGTGAGGCATCCATATTTCAGGTTAAGTCTGCACGGATTTCACTGACAGCAGTTACACCAAGCAAACCAACGTAACAGGTAAAAGCGCCAGAGTTTGTTCGAACCACACCCTAATAATTTCCCCAAAAACGAGCCTAAGCTTTTTTTTAAGACTATGGGTGAGCAAAGTTCAGCTGAACGGTCATTTGACATTTATTTTGACTAAAAAAGGGATTTTGAGGGAAATGACAGAACACAGCGGTTATGTGGTAGTATGTGTAAAGACTTGTCATAAACACCAACTGTACTGTGTGTGTTGGCACTAGGCTACTACCTCAGAGCAGTAAAGAAACAAGACAGGAATCTATGCTGTGTGTTTACACCAGACAGGCTTGGCACCTGACATTTCAATTTTAACATCAAATAGAGAAGGAAGTGGTTTATACAAAATGACAGTCTGAGAGATAAAGACAGACAAGGAGAGTGAAAGAGAGACAAGATGGCTGACAGGAGGATATAAAAACATTTCCCCAGCCTTTAGTATAACTGTAAACTCAGCAACTTTAACTGCCACCCGTAAAAGTGTTGTTTTAAGACAAAGTGTTGTTTTAAGACAAAGTGCTGTTTTTCGCCGTCTCTGTATCAACAGCAGACGTGTTCTTTTCTTTTCATATCAGTTGTGGTCACTGGTGTGCTCTGTCTTGGTATTCTTTCTCTCGACACCGGCCACTGTACTACATTTATATCTTTTCTTCTTTCAATTTGTCCAACTCCCTCTGTCTGGGTTTCAATCTCTCTCTTTGTCAGTCCTCCCATGTGTCACTGATTTCCATTTTGTACTGTTATTTTGGTACCTGTTTCTGGGGCCACTCTGTCTCTCATGCCATCATTAATTTCCCTCATCTGCCTCTTTCTGCTTCTCGTTTATCCGTCTGTGGCTGTCTGCCTTTCCTCCGCTGTTTCTATTCACCCCTCTTCCTCAACCCTTCCCCTCTCATCCTGTTTCTTACATTGCCATCCTGCCTGCTGAGTCTCCATTGATATTCCAAACTAAGTCTCAGTGCAAAGAGACGAAAATACATGCTGCTGCAGGTATGTATTGATCTCAATTTCGTTCTGCCTCTTTGTCTCTGGGTTCTCCGACTTCTCATCTATTTCCCTCACTCCGTGTCTGGTAACAAAACCTCTCTTTGCATGCTTTTGCTTTCTTTCAGGCAATCCCTCTCAATCTTCATCTCTCCGTCTCTGTCTCACTTACACTGAACTTCTCTCCAGCTTATGCCGTTTTGTCGGGCTCTTGGTACCTCTTTGCAAAAAACAAAACTGCCTTCCCTTTTCCAACTGCGTGGCTTCAACACTACATCTCCTCACAACTGTTCCCATGAAAAATACAGTATGAGTCTCTTTGAAGAGTTGCACAAGATTTATGAATCTTTTGAAGATGATTTTGTCTAAGATGTAACTTTGTGTATGTATGCCAGCTTTATACAGAGCTGATAAAAAGACAACTTCAGGGCACTGTGTCGATATCTAAAACACCATACGAGCTGCTACACACTGATGTTACTAGTTGTACCACATCTCCCACCTCCCTGACAGTCTGCTTCAATTAGCCGCTTTCTTCTTTAATCCACCGCCAGGTAAAATACCAGGGCTCATTAAGCTGTGTGTCCAAAACATTCAAACCTAACAGCAAACATGTATCAGGATATGATGGCTATGGATAGAAATTCTGCAGCTAATAACACATGCAACCTTAGAGACAAACTGTTCAGTTCATCTCTGGGTAAGGCATTAAAAAGCTTTTAGGAAGCATTTGTCCATTCTATTAAAGCCAACTGTAACCACACAGCCGCCTCCTGTTTTTAGCATACTTGTGATCTTGCATCTGAATTGACTGCATTATGTACGTTCCATATCTCAGTGATGCATCATCTATACAGCCCTCAACATGCTGCTTGCATTTATTTAGGGAGTGCCTCAAGCACAGAGCTTTTACAGTCAAACTTACCTGCTTCTCCATCTGGTGCTATAGTATCTCTAACTGAAACGCGTTTCACATTATGCTTCACAGGTCTCTGATGTGACTTTATTAATGACTTGTGTTTCCTGTGACAGTTACAGAGTAATGAGACTGCTGCGGTGAAGAGCGTGCCATGTGTTGGTATCTGTGCACATTGGCACTGACAGCGTGTGTGTATGACTGGGTACATGTTTGTGAAAATCGGTGTTTATATTGCCGTCAAACATGATTAATGCCATACTGAGTCATCAACACATGCCAGATAGGTCAGTGTTTTTTTTCCTTCGTGTTTGTGCTGTATGCATGTGTGGGTGAATGGCAGCGATGGACAGAGCTGTCGCCCATGTGTAGGTGTATATTTGTGTACAAGAATGCACTATGAATAGCCTTCAGATGCCATTTCACAAAGTGGTCATTCGCTTTTTCAAAAACATTTTCAGAGACTTGGATCCCTAAGTGGAATTTGTCCAACTTATCAGGACTCAAGTGGCCACTGGCTGAAAGAAACGATGATATACAACTCTGAGTCTTTAAACACCATTAAGAAAATATACTACATAAAAAAAGTATAGTGGTTGTGTCTTCCCACCACATGCACAACACTACGAGCAATATTCCATCACGGTCACTGTTTCACTCTTTGGTTGATAAGGCTCTTGTACTGGATTTACAACAGGCTTGAAATGAAGTTCTAAACAATACCAAATGATTACTGTGAAAGCCTTTCTATCTACATCCCACAACATCAACAACTCGGGGCTTTAGGTCTAGCTCAGCGCTCAAAAAGATTTGGTGGTTAAGTCTGCTTTGATCAAGATTTCTGCTGTGTGCTTCACACACTAGCTGTCAAGAGCTCATAAACAGCTTTTGTTCCAAATATGCAAGTAATACTTGGTTATCAGTAATGGACTGTCGCCGTCTTTTGCTGCGGTTACTGTGAATTTACCACAAACGCCAATGTAGCATACCTACTTTTGTAATAAGACAAATTATGACTTATGACCTATGAATTATTCAGAAACTCTCATTCGCGGGGCACCACCTGAATTCCGTTCACCCAAGGCCTCCAGGACTCCCTGGGTATGGGTTTTAATAATTATACGATTATTCGCTAGTGATCAGTTAGTTAATATCGCTCAATTATCTTAAATCAGTCAGTCAATCTCATATCGAAAGGCCGTAAATCGTTCCTGACAGTGACTTGGAGTTAAACAATACACACAAAGTTCACGTAATTTAGGTGAAATTGATTAAATAACTAATGGATATAAATGCAGTTAAATATACATCAAAGAAATAAACAATGGCTAAACAGACATGAGGCAAACAACAAGTGTAATGAGTTCAATGTAAATTGGGTTCTCTTGTGGGGAGAATTTAATTCATAAGGGCAACTAATAAGCGCAAGCTATGATAATAACTCTTGCTATGAGTTTTAAGGATTAAAGATACTGGATTAACAGACTATTGGACATCACTGATCACAGAATGCCTTTGCCTTACTGGGTGTCGTTGGCCTGCCTTAGGCCGGTTGCACGGGTCCCCACGCTAGTTGCCCGATTCCTGGCTTTCTGCTAGGGAATTTTCCGGGGGTTCTCCGTGGCTGAATGAAGAAAAACACTCCAGTGGCGACCGTCCTCGGCCTGGCAGTTAGGCTCTGTTCTGATTTGGATGTCTTTTGGGTTACTGCTCGCAAGACAGGCCCATGTGGCTGGGTCCGTACTTCGGTGGGAGCAGTGTAAGCTAACTTGACGAAATAAAGCTTAAAAGAACTTGGTCATTCTTGAATTAAAATTGCGTGACTTAACGGTCTGATAACTTATCAAACAAAAGAAAATATAAAGCAAGTTAGTTGCTGGAAACGAGGGAAAAGCCGAGGTTGCGGCGCATCGCGTGTGTGGCTTCAAAAGAACAAAGGAATCTTCGCGGCAAGCCGGGCCGGACTTCTTAGGGCGTTGCTGGGAGACGGAGCACGCTGAGCGCGTGCCGAAGTACAAGGGAAGAGCGAGAAGAGCAAAGAGAGCGAGCAACAAAGAGCTCCGCTGTTGTGTTTGTCTGGCCCCTTGGGGCGTGTCCCCAGGGGGCTT